AAATAAATAAGTAATTAAGTGGATACGGAGGTGGAAAGAAATGAAGTATCTGATTTCTCAAAATTTTCGGCACGGAATAAATTGCTCTCTCTCTCACAAAAAAAAACATACAAAAAAAAAAAAAAAAAAAAAAAAAAAAAAAAAAAAAAAAAAAAAAAAACGATGAGAAAAATTTAAAAAAATAACAAATTGTTGAAAAATAAAAAAAAAATCTTGAACTTTGTCGTGACAGTGACAATTGGTTTATCTGCGGGATGTGTTATTTGTGTTATTTGACTAATGGGCCTTCCTCTTCCCTTGTCCTTTCTTTGACTGGATCCCTTTCTCTTTCTATTGCCTCTGTGAGGTTTGATTTCCTCCTTTTTTTTTACCTCTTTGCCTTTTGGTTGCGTGCAAGTGGTTCCTTGTGACACATGGGGATGAGGGCAACCAACACTCAATCTGTCATCCATGTGGCTGGCCTTGTATGCTCCATAAAATTATGGAATGTACGTCGAAGAAGAACCGGGTTGTCGAGTGTCTGCTGACTCTGGAAAGAGAACTGCGAAAGCAAGCATACCCGGTTGCCAAGTTTCATCGCATTTTGGGAAGATTTGTTCTGAAACGGGCTCGGTCATGGGCCGAGGCTGCGCAAAAGGTCTTTCAAACCGAAAGTTAAAAATAGGTCCGAAAGAGGGTTCTAGTCGGAGACCTTTAAGTAAAACTGCAATTTCTCGAGTTGTCGGAACAGCCCCCGAACGCCCTGTTTGGGGTATAGTAATACCTTGTCGTTTTTGCTACCTGTGTCGATTGGATCTTTGGGTCTCTTGTAGCCTTTTTTATTTTGTCTCAGTCATTGTTCTTGACTCTTGTAGTTTTTGTCAGCCGACCCTCTGTGGGTTTCTTTTAGAGCTAGGCCAAGGGTTGTTGAGTACAGTAGGGTATCAAAGGATGAGGTAGAGATAGATTGGACACTATTATAGCATTACAGCGTAAAGTAAGACATCTTCATTTGACACGAATCCCCCTGAGAAGGCTGGGTCGATAAATGGTTAACGGGTGCATATATTTTCAGGTCTCCTTTCTAGGCAGTTCAACCACTTTAGGGTACTACACCACTTTCAGATTGTGTGTTGATCTACACATGGGGTTGTCTGAAACCGCCTCCAGGCAGTTCACTCACTTCAGGTTGATACACCACTTTCAGATTGCCTACAGATCCATTGCAAATGGTGGGATGTGGGTACCTGAAACCCCTTTTAGAAGCTTCAGCCACTTCAGCAGTTTCAGGTCCCCACCTGAAATTCCTGAAATGACCTGAAGTGGCTGAAGCTTCTAAAAGGGGTTTCAGGTATCCCCATCCAACCATTTGGATGGGGGTACCTGAAACCCCTTTCATAAGCTTCAGCCACTTCAGCGGTTTCCGGTCCCCACCTGAAATTCCTGAAATGACCTGAAGTGGTTGAAGCTTCTGAAAGGGGTTTCAGGTACCCCCATCCAAATGGTTGGATGGGGGTACCTGGAACCCCTTTCAGAAACTTCAGCCACTTCAGCGGTTTCAGGTCCCCACCTTAAATTCCTGAAATCACCTGAAGTGGCTGAAGTTTTTGAAAGGGGTTTCGGGTACCCCCATCCAACCATTTGGATGAGGGTACCTGAAACCCCTTTCAAAAGCTTCAGCCACTTCAGCGGTTCTAGGTCCCCACCTGAAATTCCTGAAATTACCCGGAGTGGCTGAAGCTTCTGAAAGGGGTTTCAGGTACCCTCATCCAACCATTTGGATGGGGGTACCTGAAACCCCATTCAGAAGCTTCAGCCACTTCAACGGTTTCAGGTCCAAAACAAAAACAGGCAAAAAACAAAAATTCCAAAAAAACACAAAATTTGACCCCGAAACCCTAATTTCAGGATCATTCATCGTTACCCAGGGCCGAAAAGTGGGGGTCCCCGTTAACCACTTGTGCATCATTCTGAAATTTCAAGTGGTCGTTAACTTCGAGTGGTTGGGTCTGGCACCAGCCGAAACGAGGAGTCGGAGAGCCGCCAGACGCTTTGGGTTTGTGCTTATTGTTTTTTTTTTGGCAATCTCAAGGCACCTATTCGTGTTGAATTACATGAAGATTTTGCCTCAGTGTTCATTTTGTGAACTAGCACGCTACAAGTATCGATGTTTTTTGCATGATATCTGCATCGACAACTCTCATGCTCAGTTGCGAGCGTTACAACCAGTCGAGGGATGATCACTCGGAGACTTGGTAGTAGGGAATAACGGTGACGTCAACAGTAATATCGATTCTGACTACGAAGAAGATGAGCAGCGACAGTCAATAGAAGAACGAGGAGTTTGTGACGAGAGCAGCCAAAAGAAGAAGTCGAAGTGCGGAGAAAAAAGAGATGAGTTATCATCGGAAGAATGACTCATGGGGGAGAAGGGACCTCCATCGAGGCTACGAAAGTGAAGGTTGGGATAGTGGAGGCGACGACCGACGGGATAGAGGTCGGGATGAGAGACGGGAAAGAAGGTATGATGAGAGGCGAAGTTGGTCGTTGGACGACCATGGACGGAGGTCCGGAGGAGGAGGAGGGAGAACAATAACTTGCTACGGATGCGGCGAAGAAGGACACTTTAAGAGTCAATGCCCAAGACGAGGAGGAGGAAGCGGAAGTATCGCCGTGAGCAAGGAACTCGAAGAATCCTAAACTAAGTGGGGAAAATGACGAAACTATTCCTAGGCCAAAAGAGAAAAGCACTGGAGGTCGAAGAAAAGAAAAAACGGGAAGCGGAGGAGAAAGCTGCGAAGGCGGAGGAAGCGAGGGTCGAGTTGAAAAAGAAGCAAGTTGAAGAAGAGAAGGCAAAAAAGAAGATGGGAGCTGAAGAAGATACTAGCGGAGCAGCGGGAATAATTCAAAGAGTGTATGGAGGAACTCGTCAACAGGAAGATAAAGGCGGTCGAGATCAGCAAGAAGAAGAAGAAGGGTAAAGGACCAACAAGAGATCCCTCAGTTTCGAAGGATGAGGAGGAAACGAAGGAAGAAACTTCGCTAAACGATAAACGAAAAAGAAGAGACTCTACAGGGGCGGTTCAGAATAGCCCACCAATGGAGACACCGAAGAAGACCGGACGAGTCGAAGAGAGCGCGTCCCCAACAAGCTTCGGACCAAAGAAAGGAAGGGGAAGACCCACCAAGGCGGATGCTCAGGTGGCGAGGATGGACCGAGGGGAAGACCCGTGGGAAGGTGTACCAATGGGCGCAAAGTTCGCTATAGAAGCCGCCTACAGGAACGCAGTGAGAAAGACACTGGCGTCCTTCTACCCGGATACCTTGAAGGCCATGTGTCGAGGAGCGACGGTGCCTTTCTATGGCATAAACGGCGCTGTTGACATTCTGGCAGAACTGAGAGTCACATACTGCTATAGAGGTAAGAAGCAATCAAGGTCAACTTCGAAGACGACTAACAAAGACGATCGGATGAGGGGAGAGTTGCAGGACCCTCAGGAGGAGAAGACAGAGTAAGTTCGAGACATGGAAGATACTTTGGGAGTATCTCGATCACCGAAGATGATGTAGACTGGATAGCAAATCCAAAGAATTGAGGTGTCTAGTGGAGAGAATATTGTGAAATCTAGTGTTCCTACTCATTCTTGGAAAATAAATTGACTGGGGAAGAAGGTTTGTGGAGTGTTTCTGGGGGATATTCGAAAATGAGCGTGAAAAGTGGAACGAACCTAGCTCATGTGCCTATGTGTTGATCGACCCGTGTTGTAGACAAATATATATTGGAAAAACGGAGAGACGTTTAAGCGAACGATGGTCGAAACATGTAGGACGTACGCAAGCTAGGGGAGATGTGAGGAAAAATAAGCTCTATGCTTGGATGAGGAAATGGGGTTGGGAATCGTATATAGCGCTTCCCATTGCCATTGCGGATAAAGATGAGTTGCTGGGCTTGGAGCAAAGGCTTATTAAACGGTGGTCCCCTGCTTTGAATGTGAATGGCTGGCGAGATGAGAGGAATAGGAAAAAGAAGAAGAAGAGGAAGGGAGGAGAGAGAGAGGAAAGAAAAGAAATACGTACTATAAAGGAGAAAGGGTGGTTCGCTTTGCCAGTTCAGATGGGAAGAAGAGCACGAAGTTGATAGAAATCGTATCGTGGGTGAAGGGAAAAAGGAATAGGGATATTATCTCCTATGGAGGTAAAATCTGCGCGGAAGATTGGAAGGTTATTAGAAGAAGGTTCGGAGAATCCGAGGTGACTGTTAAAGGCAAGACGCTAAGATTAAGAGAAACAAAGAGATTCTTCGAAGAAGGAGGGCAATTGAGGTTCGCTAGGATTCGAGAAAGGGTGCCGGGAGACCCACGTCTGAAGAAACTGTTTCATAAATTTTTGAAAAATCCTTGGTCTAGAAAGGAGTAATGATATCGACAAAAGACTGATGAATGCAAAAAACGTGGTGCAAGGTGTAGACAATACCAGGGACGATGTGATGTTATGCAAGAAGTTGAATAATGAAGGGCTCGGAGTAGGCATCAACTCACCATGGACGATACAGCACGCCAGGTGCTGTATCCGAAAAGTAGGCACTGTCCAGAATAACCTGCTGGATGAGATTTAAGACATTAAGAAGAATTGGGAGGGACTGGTTTTGTGTTCGTTGGACAAGAACCCCGCCGAGGCGCTAGTTCAGTATCCAGCCAAGTATGCAGATGGCATGCGAGGCATGTTTTATGAAAATCCGGCCTTCGAAGTTGTATGGCGGAAGGAAGAAGATATTCTCGCACGGGCGAAGGAGTTTACAGAAAAAGGTTTGAATGAGGTAGGGAAACGGGATAACGGAGGTAGCTGGGGGAAGGTCTATGTGCTCCCAAAGCACATGGACCCCTTGAAGTACCGTCTTATTTCCCCTTCGTTTTCGGAACCAACCAAGACCGCCAATCAGAGAGTAGCAAGAACCTTGAACTTCTTGTTGTTTAACCTGCCGAAGAATCAACACTTCAATTTGAAAGCGACCAATCAGCTGAAGACGAAACTAGATGAAGTCAACATGTGGGCGAAAAAAAAAAGAGGAGGAGAACTCGTGGGGTTTGCCTATGACATTAAATAAATGTTTAACAAATTCCCACACGAGTCGATCAAACGGGTAACCGAATGGATTCGAAGGGAGTACGAAAAGAATGGAAGATCGTTCGTAATGGTTAGACAGAGAGGAAAAGGGGCTTCGTTTGGGCAAAGAAAGGGAGAGTGGGGTTGGGTGAAGATCAGTTTTGAGTGTATTAGAAGAATGGTTGAATTTGATTTGAAAAACGGCTTTCTCTAGGCTTCTAATAGGCTAATCAAACAGAAAGAGGGAATCCCGATGGACAAGTTAAGTAGCCCACCGATTGCCTGTATCCTATGTGCCTTTTGTGAAAATGAATTTTTGACTAGCCTGGGAAAGGAGGTTGGGTTAATTAGATGGATAAGATTAGTAGATGATGTGTCAGTCTTTATGCGAAAGAAATGGGGAAGGGAAGAAAATTGTGAGGTTGAAAGGGTAATTAGGAAATTTGAGTCTTCCTATGACCCGAATCTGACTTTAAAGAGGACAGACGATGGATTGGGTGAGTGGGGCTTTTTAGGATGCAGAATTAAGATTGAAGGGAAGAGAGTTGTTTGCTGGTACAAAGCAAAAAACTTTGAGGAAATTTGGAAGGACGGGGAGGAATTGGAGTACAAAAGCTTTCGAGATTTCAACTCGTACACTTGCATGAAACAGAAAAGAACGCTCATAAATGGTATGCTCCATAAAATTATGGAATGTACGTCGAAGAAGAACCGGGTTGCCGAGTGCCTGCTGACTCTGAAAAGAGAACTGTGAAAGCAACCATACCCGGTTGCCATGTTTCATCGCATTTTGGGAAGATTTGTTCATAAACGGGCCCCGTCGTGGGCCGAGGCTGCGCAAAAGGTCTTTCAAACCGACAGTTAAAAATAGGTCCGAAAGAGGGTTTTAGTCGAAGACCTTTAAGTAAAACTGCAATTTCTCGGGTTGTCGGAACAGCGCCCGAACGCCCTGTTTGGGGTATAGAAATACTTTGTCGTTTTTGCTACCTGTGCCGATTGGATCTTTGGGTCTCTTGTAGCCTTTTTTGTTTTGTCTCAGTCATTGTTCTTGACTCTTGTAGTTTTGTCAGCCGACCCCTCTGTGGGTCTCTCTCCGAGCTAGGCCAAGGGTTGTTGAGTACAGTAGGGTATCAAAGGATGGGGTAGAGATAAATTGGAGACTATTAATAGTATTACAGCGTAAAGTAGGACCTCTTCATTTGACACGAATCCCCCTTAGAAGGCTGGGTCTGGCACCAGCCGAAACGAGGCGTTGGGGAGCCGGCAGACACTTTGAGTTTGTGCTTATTGTTTCTTTTTCGACAATCTCAAGGCACCTATTCGTGTTGAATTACATGAAGATTGTGTCTCAGTGTTTGTGTTGTGAACTAGTACACTGCAAGTATCTATGTTTTTTGCATGATATCTGCATCGACAACTCTCATGCTCATGCTCATGCTCATGCTCTGCTTGTACGTAAGAGGTGATGAATAGGCGGAGCTTTCCTTCCTTACCTTCTTTCTTTTTTTTATTTTGTCTTTATCCACCTTTGCGCTCTTATTCACTTCGTGACAATATATATATATATATACATATATATATATATATAGTTACCAGGCCGAACGTTCGAGAGGCTGATCCAAGCGTTCGGGGCCCGGGGTTCAGACCCCGCCAAAAACGATTTTGGGGCTTTCAAATTATTGTTTTTTGTTTACGTTTTTTTTAGAGTTTTGTATGACATGATCTACATGCATATAAAATTTTAAGGCATTTTTCCAAGCTAAATTGAAATGAAAAATTGCCAAAGATGGCGGTGTCGAAACATGCTTAGCCACTCAATTTTTTTTTTCCACTTTTCACCTTTTGTTTTGATTTTACTTTGGTGCCTCAAATATTTTATTATTTTTAAAAATTTTGTTCATGAGCTTTATATTATGTGAAATACACATTTGTACATTTCCAGGGCATTTTATTGTCCCAAGAAACAATAAACAATCGCTAAAGATGTCGGTGTCGAAAACGTGTTTGCCCACTCACTAATTTTAATTATCTTTTTATTTTCCTAGTATGATTTTTTTTCGTATTTTGATTGTATGTCACATTTGGTAAGGAATTTGGATGTAACGTTGAGGCAAATAGTGTTCATTATATTTTTCTGCGTAACGTATATTTTTTTCTTATACTTTTTAAAAATTTTTGATTTTTTTTTTTAGGTCCGCATTCGGTCGTTCGTCCCCAAGAGGGACCGGACATTCGGCAGGTTCGGGTTCGGGAATGCGGCCAAACCCGAACCCGAACCTGTCGAACGTTTGGCCCCTCTTGGGGATGCGTTAACTCGTTTGGCTCGAACGAGGACCTAAAAAAAAATAAAAATGACAATAATAAAATAAATTCAATTTTTTTTTTGAATGTGAAAAAATATATGTTATGCTAAAAAATAAAACAAACAACATTTGCCTCAATGTTACGTACAAATTCCTCACCAAATGTAAAATAAAAATTAAATACAAAAATATAAAAATATAAAAAAATAAAATTAGTGAGGGGGTGAGTACATTTTTGACACCACCGTCTTTGATGATTTTTCATTTTCTCTTGGTACAACCAAATGCCTTGAATATGTACAAATGTATATTTCACATAATATAAAACTCATTAAAAAAGTTTCAAAAAATAATAAAATATTTGGGGCACCAAAATAAAATTAAAACAAAATGTGAAAAGTGGAAAAAAAAAACAACTGAGTGGCCGAGCACGTTTTGACACCTCCATCATTGGCGATTTTTTTTTTTTTTATGGGCTTGGTAAAATGCCTTTAAAATTTTAATGCGTGTGCGCACATCATGCAAAACTCACAAAACAAAATTCAACAAGACAAAATAATTTTTAGGCCCCAAAATAGTTTTTGGCAGGGGCCGAACCCCTTCAGCTTCGGACCCCAAACGAGACCCCGAACGCCCGAACATTCGGACTGGTAACCATGCTGTATATATATAATATATAAATATATGTAATGTATAAATATATATATAATATATAAATATATATATAATATATAAATATATATTTATAATCATAAATACATACAGGGCTACCAGCGTTCGGGACGGGCCGAATGCCCGAACCCGAACGTCGGATTACGTTCGGCCGTTCGGCTGAACGCGGAACCATCCCCCCCCCCCCTAAAATTAAAAAAAACGAATTCAAAAAAATACGAACAAAATATGTGTTATGCAGTAGAATAAACTAAACATCATTTGCCTCAACTTTACATCCAAATTCTTTACCAAATTTGAAATAAAAATCAAATACTAAAAATAAATCATAATAATGAAAATTAAAAAAAAAACGAGAATGAAATTATTGAGTGGGCTAGCTCGTTTTTTACGCCGCCATGTTTGGCGATTTTTCATTTGTTTTGGGTTGTGACAAATGCCATGAAAATTTATATGTGTGTATCTTATATAATAGAGAATCTACAAATAAAGTTTGAAAAAATATATATTTTTTTTATGAGCCGAAATAAAGAAAAAATAAAAAGTGAAAAGAGAAAAAAATAAAAATTTGTGAGTGGGCAAACAAGTTTTGACACCACCATATTTGCCAATTTCATTTTTTGTTGGCTGAACAAAATGCCTTCAAAATGAATGGAGAGATACCTTACATCTCAAATAACTCTTTAAAAAAAAAAAAAAAAAACATAATAATATTTAGGTGTCAAAACAATTATTTACGGTTTCCGAACCCCTTCAGGTTCGGGCCTCGTACGAGGACCCGAACACCCGAACGTTCGGGGGTCAGCTTAGGGGCCTCCGTACGTTCGGCCTGACAACCCTGAATATATACCGGGCAGTTCTGTTTGTGACGATATATATATATATATATATATATATATATATATATATATATATATATATATATATATATATATATNATATATATATATATATATATATATATATATATATATATAGAGAGAGAGAGAGAGAGAGAGAGAGAGAGAGAGAGAGAGAGAGAGAGAGAGAGAGACAGAGAGACAAAGAGACAAAGACTCTTCCTCCCTCTTCGTCTGCGTCCGTAGTAAGCGGTTTTGTCGAGCGACTGCATATGACGTTCGGTTGAGTAGAGGAAAGGTGGACAAAGGGGAAAAACAAGCGGAGAGGAGCACCAGGTAAAGAGGCGCTGAAGAGTAGAGAAAAGAGAGAGGACAGAAAGGACGGGCGGGAACGAAGGGGAGCAGAAAGCAATGGGAGTTGGGCGAGTGGAGTGGAGAACCGTGAGGGTCTCACTGCATTGCTCGCAATAGTATTAAATGAGAATGAACCTTCTAGAACATGAAAAAATGCACTGTCATAATTTTAGTTTTTTGCATTCGGTGAGTGGTGCAGCAATGCCCCAACAAGCACGGATGTAAATCTAAGATAAGTATGGAACGAAAGGAAACAAAGGTAAAAAAATGTTCCCCAATTTCTCGTTTTCGAGGGCTCACGTAGAAAAAAAAAACTCACCCAAAAAGGAAAATGGACGCCACCTCACGTCACCAAACACATCTGCTCTCAAGTAACGACATTCCTCCCACTTTTCCGCCCCCCCACGACCACTCACGACTGGTCCGTGTCTTGCCTCAGACCGCACTTTTCCTATGCAATGCATGACGCCCTCCAAACCCCTCTTAGCGGTCATCAACATGTTGAAAACGACAAATGTCCGCTACACGACAAAAGTCCCCGGAGCAAAACGCAGCCTCCTGGTTGTGAACAAACACAAACACGCTGACTATCTTTTGTCGAGCGGGTGGAGAACGGCGTTAGCGCTAGCATCCTAATGTCGGCGGACCGTTAGGGTCCGATTGCCCCGACTAGACTAACGCCTGGGAAGGAGGGCTCCTGGTTGGTAGGCCTGGACATGCGCCCGACAGGCGGACGGGGCTGCTTGGCTGCCACGTGACACCTGTTGTTTGGTGATATGGAAGTCCCGCAAAATGTGGGCAGGGATAGCACCAGCCGTGAGTGTGTCAAGAAGAGTAATCATGGCGCGGTTCTCTGGGCGAGAGATGGAGTTGGTGGGGGAGCGACAACATGGAGCGGAGAAATGGTTTATCGCCTTGGACGAGGGATGTTTGCAGCTGCAGTCGATTGTGAGGGTGTTGTCATCACGATGGCAGGAAAGGCCAAAGGTCAAAGGGGGTTAACCTCTCTGTCTCAGTGGTCGGAAGACAGGATACAGGACATGTTGGAGATCATGTGGGAGCTGGAGGAGGGGCCGGATCCCCGGCTCGAAGACTGCATCGATTGGAGAAAGGCGGATGTTAAGATGGGAGCCTGCAAAGCACTTTTTACAAAGGGTCGCAACCTGCGCAACCTGCTGGAGGATCGACATGACATGGGTGAGATGAGAGAGAAGGTTGCAGATTGCAAGTTGATCACGACGACGGGTGAGAACGAAACGGGAGAGGAGCAGATAGCGACGAAGTTGGCAACGATGACATCAACAACAACCACAACAACAACATCAGCAATATCGGCAGCAATATCGGCAGCAATAACAACAACAACAACAACAACAACAACAACAACAACAACAACAAACATCGTAGCGATACCATCACCAACACCAGCGGCAACACCAGTGGTGGTGACGGAGTTGGCAGCGACGAAGATGACAACATCAACAGTGGCGACAACAACAACAACAACAACAACAACAACAACAACAACAACAACAACAACAACAACAACAACAACGATAACAATCAATAACAACATCACCACCAACAGTGACAAGGGGGTGGGCAGTGAAGACGATAATAACGGTGGAGAGGGCAGCAACAACAACAACAATAACAAAACAAAGAACGACAATAACACCAAAGATGGCGTCAACCGGGTGGGAGTGGGATAAATTTTCTCCCCTTTATCGACTGGAGTTGACCGGCCGTGAAGTTCCAATCACGAAGGGGTGTTGAATGCCCCCCAAAGGGAGGTAGGTTGCTTAGGGTTTCGTGTCTTGATTTTGATTTGCTGGTTGGAGTGATGGATGCAAATGCTTTTCGTTAGGATTACACTACATGGGCAGGAGGTCAATCCTTCTCTTGTGCGCAGGGAAGTAATCAATGCCTGTGCTGTTTCCGGAGAATCTGGTATGGTAGATATGGAGGATAGAGTTTTTTCTTCATGCGACACATATTGATGTATGCACAGAGACTGTATTGAATGCACACTATGATATCTCTACACATCACTGTATAGGGATGCTGAACGCGATTTCCAGCTCATATACATCATATCATTGTGAAGGGATGCTGGACCCGATTTCCAGCAGGTGCTGCTCCCCACCAATAGATGGAGCCTTCAACGCTGTGGCCTACACGGGCTGCCATATACGAAGTTCAAAAAAAAAAAAAAAAAAAAAAAAAAAAAAAAAACCAAGTACACCCGTGATGGCCAAAGACGCTACCATACCGAACGGGGTGACACACACACCACACAACCCACACAGACAAACACACGTACAGCCGTGATGGCCAAAGACCCTACCGACAGCGAACAGGGCGAGCAAGCCAAGCCTACTATCTCTTTTTTTCTTTTTCTTCTTTTTTTTCAGATCGTTTGGCACCAAGAGTGCCGCAGGCGGTCAGTAGGGGCTGAACCCACGACCTCATGAATGGCACTTACGTGCCTACCCCTTTTTTTTTGTGGGCCCTTTGTTTTTTTTTTTCACACCTACGGCCGCGGGCTACGTTCTCGCTGCAGGCGGTCCAGTTTTGTCTTTTTGACGTTTGGCGAGCGGGGAGTCTAGGCCCGTGATCGAGTTTGATTGGGACAAGGCCCCGGTAGAGAAGAGTGGAAAGAGCATGCAGGACCGGTTCTCGAGGGGCCGGAATTCCTTTGCACAAGTGCGATAGGCTGCCCAAGGTTCAACTTGCGTTCTGATTGGCTGGCCGAGTGTTGAAGAGGATCAACAGATTCAACACCATTTGGTCGCGAATTTCCTGCACGGTTTCGCAACCACCAGCCCGCCGCTGCCGCGACGTTCGCCCACAGCCCCACCGCGCGTTCGTTGTTGTACAAGTCGCAGTCCCGCGTGCGCCTTGACGCAAGAAAGGCAATATATAAAGACCCCCACTTGGCKTTCAAAAATTAAAAKCAGTTGCGTTGTTTCRAGAATCGRTAMGTCCKAGTAATAATCCTTWGGGSCTTKCTTGCATCCAGGTCAGTGACARGGTTGTCCGCCGGCGATCACRARCGATTCACCATGTCGGGAAGAGGGAAGGGTGGAAAGGGACTGGGAAAGGGAGGCGCCAAGCGCCATCGCAAGGTTCTTCGTGACAACATCCAGGGRATCACGAAGCCTGCCATCAGAAGGTTGGCAAGGCGAGGCGGTGTGAAGCGCATCAGCGGTCTGATCTACGAAGAGACGCGTGGCGTYCTCAAGGTMTTCCTCGAGAATGTTATCCGTGATGCTGTGACTTACGCCGAGCACGCTCGTCGCAARACGGTGACGGCCATGGATGTKGTCTACTCTCTCAAGAGGCAAGGCCGCACCCTGTACGGGTTCGGCGGCTGAACCGGCGGCGCTGTGTTGCGTCCTGCCGGATCTGCGCCATCTGCGCTTTCARCGGTGTTTTCTAACACCACCGTTCCTCTGACATTTCCGTCTCTCTGAGTGTACGGAATGCCTTTTCCGCTTTATTCCCGTATCTGCACTGTTATCTCTTCTTTCCCTACCTACGACTTTTCTACATCCTCTTCAGCACAGCTGTTTAGGGCCGTTGTTGTCTCACCTGAACTCCGACCTCCTCGCCGTTCTGTAGGTCGGGGCATCTCTGCTTTCTCTTCCGTTGGGTCTCCCTCCTTGTAGTCCCCCTGGTTCACCGCCTTCTCTCTCTTCCCATGTTCACCGCCCTCTTCCTGGACCCTTAGGCTTGGTTGCTCTCCGTTCTCCTGTTGTTGTTCTCTCGTTGTGTCCCTGGCTCCACTGCTGTCTCCCTCTCTCTGAGTTAGCCGCCGTCTCCATGGAGTCTTAAGCTTGGCTGCCCTCTTGCCGCCTTTGTCCTCTCTGTCGTCGAATCGGGGCATTATCACTTGCATGKCTCTGTCCTCTCTGACGCGACGTGCGTGCATTTTCGGTCCTGCGCTTTTTTGTCGGGGGTTTGTTGTTAGCAGCTTGATGTCTGTGTATATCTCTCTTTTCCAGCATCGCATTTTTTTACTGTTGCTTACGCTCTCCGTCCAGTTAACGGTAGCCGTGGAACGTGGTATGTGTTTGGGGTATCGCTTGTCTTCGGCTGGAGGGAAACGAGGAAGCGAACGACAAGTGATATCTAATTGTGATGGCGATTGACGTGGTTTTTGCTATTCAGTGATTTGACATTGGTGCAGATTTACATTGGTGCAGATGTGGAAGGCATAGCTGTCGATGAAGGTTGAAATGGAAGCAAGCAGTTCCCGTTAGCGATGTGACTCGACTGCTTGACTTACGCAAGTGTGTGGAGAGTGGAGAGGGAGGGCTCAGAAGGTTATGGTTGTGGTGCAGGTAAGTAACAGGATGTTATGAGATGTTTGTAAATTCGGAGAATTCGAGTGTTTTTCTGTTGTCGAGGATACGAGGAAACGAATATTGTCGACGTAAAGTTCGAATTGTAGACGCCTGGTAGGGGTATGGAGGACGCGGAGTGTGTCGGTCAGCTTCGATGTTCAATTGTGATGATGGGTGTCGTGGCGTGTGCTTAATTGTCTTGGGCATGGTCACATCACGCGTCCATACTCGAATACAACGCCCTGTCGAAATTATTCGTATCGTTTGTCTTCTCCCTCTGAGCCTGCGGTTTACCGGCCAGTTCTGTTCGACAACATATATATCAAATATATAGACATAATCTATATTCGTAGTATAATATTTACGTAGAAAATGGATATCTAGGTTTAAGATATCGAACATGGATATCTATGTTGATACATTATTTGTGTATAAAATTGATATAATCGGAAATAGATATCTATATATTCACGTAATATTCAGCCTTCATATAACAGGTTACCTATTGCAGAAGCATGAATATTTAGGGTTCCTTCGGTGTGTTCCATAACCTAGGGATTTGTCTTGCTGTGGCGGCTGTGTAGTGTTTAGGGTACAGTCAGACCAGTTTGCTATACTCAAACACGCGCGGTCCTTGCATGTGTTTAGAGGGATTTGTCTTGCTCGAGGTGAGACGTCGGCTGTTATGAATTACGCAATTTGTTCGTTTCGATTGTAAAGGAGCAATAGGAGCGGGGAGAAGTTACCTAGTGGAGAAGCATGAATGTTTAGGTGTCGCGCGGTGTGTTTACTAACGAGGGGAGTGTAGTGGTTGCCTGCCTGTGTGACGGTTAGGGTTTAGTCAGACCATCCTATCCTCGAATACGTCCGGTCGCTTTGAGGATTATTTATCGTATATCCTGGTGATACGTGGCCAGGTGGAGCCCGTAAGATATCCGGTTCGTTTCGTGGCTGCAATGGTAGCGGGGAGAAGATGAGGACAGTGAGGTGTTCATGTACACGTTTCGTTTACTGGGCAGTCATGTAGCCGTTTCATTTCCGGAACATAACGCCCGGTCTATATGCATACACGTACATTCATATGATATATATGTATTTCTATATTATATATTGTACTTTTGTATGTGTTTGCCCTGGAAGTGAATATCTATGTTCATCATGAACATGTACATCTCAGAATGTTGGTTCGAGGGCGGAAATGTGGTCAGATTTTTGAGAAGTCGTAGCGTGTCGTCTGTCATTTTTGTATGTAGGCGCTCATTTCACGTTTGGAAGCAAAGGTGAAGGCAAGTCGCGACGAAGTGTCGGGAAATGAGAAGCCAAATAACGAGGAAGTGAGGGAAATGAGAAGCCAAATAACGAGGAAGTGAGGGAAATGAGAAGCCAAATAACGATGAAGTAATTGGATATAGTATTCGGTATGAAGAGGAAACGTTAGGAGGGAAAATGAGCTCGTGCGTGTGCGGAGAGAGTAGTACAGACGGGAATGTGGGATGAGACCAGTGGTCATTGGTGATTTAGTCAGAGGATTCTGTGCGTGGTTTAGCAACTTTAGTCTATGTCTGCGTGTCGCACACACGCAAACACGCTCGGGGAGAGAGAGAGAGAGAGAGAGAGAGAGAGAGAGAGAGAGAGAGAGAGAGAGAGAGAGCTTACGATGACAATTTGGGGAGAATAGTATGCGGTGTGGTAGTCTGAAGATTCAGCAGATTTTTTAAATCGATACCATAGGCTTGATCATTTTGTTGTAAATGAACGGACGTTCGTGGGTTTTGTCAGATTCTTGCCTTCCCTGGTCCATTTACTGTGGAATATCAGAGTAATTGTCTTTCAATCAGTGTCTCGTAGTGATAAGTCGTGGGTCTAATGGTGATTTGAGCCTCTTGAAGTGTGATATCGAGCAAGGTCATTGAGAGTTCGAGGCTGAGTATGTCATCATATCTCGAAGGCATCGTTTAGCTGGTGGTGTGTTTGTGTCCGTGTCTTCTGACATACTCACACTCAATCTCCGTATTTCGCCGCCGTTAAGCTGTACTCTGTCCGATTAAGTTCAGGAAGTCCTAGTTGGTGCGACGAGTATTCCCTGTTGCCGCCTTGCTGAAGGTATGCGTGCATTCGTCTTGGGTGTGAGTCGAAGGGCCTCGCAACACGGCACATGAAACGAAAGCGAAAAGAGTGCAACTGCCCACGAGAAGTGGCCAAATCCACTCGTTACTATTCCTAGCAAACAGATGGCCCAACCCATTTTCTGTTGGAAGATGCACTCGTTTCGTTTTTCGTTTTGTGCGCCGTGCTGCGATGCCCGAAGTTTGGCCCCGCCGCGCCTTTCTCGAATGCCTTCAGTGGCTTGTCTTCGTCTGTCAGGAAAATTTAAGGAAGGATACATGTATCTTAAACGGCTGCCGTCTTCACCCGAATAGAACGCCCGGTCATTATAGCTGCATTTGGAACAACTTTTAGTCCAGATGCAGCGATAATGACCGAACGTTCTATTCGGGTGAAGACCGTAGTGATGGAGCAAGTTTCAAACTAGTGATGGAGCAAGGGGGGCCTTTAACCAGCCACAGTCATCTTGTATTCTACTTCACAAACATGGTGATGTCTTAAATTGCAGAGCCTGGTAAGCGGGTATTGTGTGATTTTCGCTTCTGTTCTCGGCCGAGAAAAGTAATCGAACGGCGGAGGACAAGGAATTTGTTACACCCTTGAATTGTTGGAATGCAGACCTGAGTTCGAATTCCGTTGGAAGTAGAGGAAATTACTATGATTCTGAATTACCTAGGGACGGTCAGTTCGATGACCGGAATGGAAGTAAAAACAGACCGTAGATGTGGAGCAATTCTAGATAAGGATACTCGAGGACGGTAGTTCGATGACGTGTCGAGCTCGAGGTGGTATACGAAAGGGTGGGGGGTAGAGGTTGTGGAATTGTTATGTTGACTGTATCAAGCTTCTGAGCAGTGTTCGAAAGGCACAAAGAGAAGGAATGCGGTCATGTGGGAGTACCAACCATCATTGTGAGCTCGAATTCTTGAAGACTGGACTTAACAAATTCAAGCTGGAGAAATGGTTTACTTTTTCTCTTCCCCTTTTCCGCATACTCTCATCATTAGGTGGCACTCCTCGGGAATTATCTAGCGCCTCGATCTGCTTGAGTATATGAATTCACCCTTGTCTTATCGGCAGAAAGAACTAATAGGACGAAGAAGGGAAGAGGATATTGAGGTTAGCCCCTTATGTTACAAAAAAAAAGAAATGGTTGTCGTTCTCGATAAGTACTCGATCATGATAATGACACGTTTGGCACGGGATCGTACTTTTCCGGACTTCTCTTTTCGTGAGGTGGTACTTCTTGGGACAGATCTGGCGGTTGGATCGACTTGGATGTACCAATCCAGTCGGAAGTGCAGAGTTCCGACAAATGGGACTCAGGTTAAGTTCTGGGGTTTTGTAGTAACTGTGTGTGAGAGAGAGAGAGAGAGAGAGAGAGAGAGAGAGAGGTAACGAGTCCTCAACTCGGACAACGTATCGTCTTATATGTGTTTCGTCGTGGTTAAGGATACTAGACTCAGGCACAGAGGTTAAGCTCTATGACGACTGACAGGGGGTGTGTCAGGTCATTAACGACATTTAAATGCCCTCTCATGCGCCTCCCCCTCTTCTCTCTCCCTCTTCCTCTGTGTGTTCGGTTGCTAGGATGTGGAGTTGTATCACGAACCGAAGAGATTGTGGATGATAACAGACAGGCTTGTCAGGTGTCAATAAGGAGTGCCCTGTTCTTGTGAAAAGCGAAATAGTTACAATAATTTGTGTGCTATCTTCCCTCTCTCTTTTTTACTTGATTCTGTCATTGTCAACACTACCGTACCGAAAGAGCCCAGGACAGGCCAACGAGTGAACAGTGAGCGAATGTGACCTGGAGATAAATTCGCGAAGAAACCATTCATGTATGCTTTTCCTTTTGAGATGATGGGCTGGCTGTGGTGCCGACTTGAGTAAATGTTGAACTTTGCTATATCTCCAGCGGAAGGTGGGGAAGGTGGAGAAGGGTAGGCGGTTGGGATATTGTATATAGTGAGCGAATACATTAGAAGATTGTGGTACGTAAACCCATTGCTTTTGAAAAATTCAAGAATTGTTGAAATGCAGACCCAAGTTCGAATGCAAGGGATGGACTCAGATGAATGAAAAGTCCAAAGAGAAGAGCACTAATTCCCCAGCCTGATGCAAAAAAGAGATTGTGTTAGAAAAGAGAAACCGTGCGAACAAAAGAAGAAACTGTGGATGGTTGCACAAGCCTTGCTGACCAGGGACGGCACTGCACTCCGATCTGGTCCTGTGGTTCATCCAGTTGGCCTGAAAGCACGGTCAGCTACCTAGTGTCTAATCTCACATCAACAATGTGGCATTCCCCCCTCTCGTTTCCCCATCTGGGGGGATTTTTTGTGAAATGCGCTACGTACACTTCAGTGCAGTGGACCTTCAAATTTAAACGTCATTGATGCAGTGCCTTAGTAACACTACTCCAATGGCACTTGGAAATGACAGGTGGTGGGTGAACTTCAACGATCAGCATGAGAAGATGCTCCTTCGACTTGAACGTCGAACCGACTTTGGTTTGGAAAGCGAAGATAAGTTGGCACAGTGGCCAAAAAGCGATAACTATATCCTACATAGAACCATGAAGAAAACAAGCAGCGATCTATGAAGTGATGATAAGCAGAGATTTACGAAGAGTGATATTAGCATGGGTCCTGCGCAAGGATGATATGCGTACATTGAGAAATGGTCCAAAATAAGGAAAAAAAAACAGACTTAGAGATGAGAAGGAGAGAGAGACGGGAGTTCTGACAATATCCGAGGGAGAGTGTTCGCTTTGATGGCAGTGTGAACTGCGAAGTGCGTGTTTGCTGCAAAGCAGAAGAACAGACCTTCTGTGTTCTATAGCAATCCGGTTGTTGACGTTTGTACAGAGAACGATCACGAAGAAAGTAAACTGTTAGTGTGGCATAGACAGAGGTTTCATGGTGACATTGTGATGGGGCTTCATCAGATGAAGGCGGGTGTGTGTGGGTGGTGGGATGAGTGTGTGTATTACAAAGTTCGAGCATGTCACACCTGATAGACGCTTCGGAGAGAATCCGAACTGAAAAGCAGAAAAAGCTGATGCAGAGAGTGATGTGCATCCGTGAGCAATATGCACCAATCGGCTTAAGAAGCCGTCTAATGAATCCGCCGCTATGGCTGCCCGTCTTTCTCCCTGAGCAGTGCTGAATGTAGCACACCTCCAGTCTCACCAAGCACCAAAAAAAATCATAAAAGGTGTTCGGTACGAGGGTTTTGTCCCGACTCCTCGCTTGTTTGAGCTGCTGCTACTCGCAAAGGCCTGTGGTGTCTGTGCACGAAAAGAAAAACCTAGAACTACCGGCCAGGAAGGGCCTACCACTATCCGTCGGCAAACATAAGACTGTTCATGTACGGGGCTCAAACTCGCCAGTTCTGGAAAGGGAAACAGAAAGAAAACAAAATTGTACGTCAGCATAATTGTCCCTCTTTTTGATGAATATCTATGAGGGGCGTACTGTTGGGGGGGTGATAGAGCATCCTGCAGTAGTAGGTGCACCAATTGCATATGGCTCCCATCTATTGGTGGGGAGCTGCACCTCCTGGAAACCAGGAGCAGCATCCCAATTTCTAAATCAGAGCATTTTGTGACCGGCCGACTGGCATAAGGCCTATTTTTTCAGAGGCGTGCCTGGTAACGTGCTGGGTGCCCTGAGACGGAAGGGTGGCCACCGGTAAATTGAATAGGCGGCCAATCTTGATTTTTGGGCTGGTGCACAGTGCCCACTGCCGACATATGGAAACGGGACTGGTGGGGTTTAGTGGGATTCATAGGCACCTACTGCATAACCCAGAATGTGGAAACGTACATAGTCTTGCTGCACTACTCTCGGATGTCCGAAATCGGTGAGTTTTTCATTGTTCCACTATCTCTACGATTGAGTGCCGCAAAAGCTCTCTAATGAACTGCACTCTTTGAATGCGAAGAGTGCCCAGTCTGCCGAATCTGTCGCTCGTAGAGACTGCCGACAATAGCACCAATTTGCTCTGAATTTCGAATTTGGAGATCGAACTTCGTGCCTGGCGAACAAACAGAGACTTTTGGCAGTGTAGAATCCGGATTTACAGAGTAGTGCAGCAATGACCCAAAATTTGGGAAATTGAATCTCATGCCCGGCGAACAAATGGGGATTTTCACCAGTCTAGTTGTAGAATCCGAATATAGGGAGTAGTGCAGCACTGACCCACCCAAAATTTGGGAAATCGGAGAGTGCGAGGACTTTGTATACTCTGCGATTTCCCTGAGAGTGGAGAGTTAGTACAAAAAGACATGGTGCATTTGCAGAATGGTAGGGTGAAATACACGATAATGATAACGACCAGATATATGACAGCAGGAGAGAAAATATGAAGTATGACAAAATCCGAGCGCAGGTTTGCGGAATAGAAGCGAAAAACCATAGAAGCTCAGTTGCGCAGGTTGGCGTCCGCCCGACGCCGGTTGCTTTCCTGCATACTGTGGTCGCTGTGCTGCATGCGCTCTCTCTGCAAGTACAGAATTACAGAATGTGTAAAAGGACAAACTGTGGAGTCTAGTGTTGGGCAACTATCTGAGGTGGCATCCGCATTAGATCAGTGCAATCTATTCATTCGTTAGACTCCTCGCCAGGGTAATACTTGACCCTGTACATGATGAGGGGTCTTCCACTCGGTGTCACACCAGCCTTTTCTCCAATGGCTGCCCGCATGTTCGTCCAAGGTGGGAGTTGTTTTCGTCCCTGGGAGTGGTGACACTGTCTAAGGCATCAAAACTCGCAGGCAGGAGGAAAATGACCCTCACCGGATAAGTGAAACATGGGATGAGTGTGTACATGTTAGGTGTATGAAAGCCTGTTTTTCTATAGGTGCTCACACACTAGCCGATAAGTGTTTCGGTGCTGCGGTATGGCCACGAACTGGGAAGGTTAATTGGAATTATCACCAACGACAACATTCGATATCTTGTGGTCCGCACCATTTAGGTGTTACTTTGCTGCAAACACTTTCAACTGCAAACTGGTTCATGCTCACTCATACCAGGTCTCTCTTTTCAACTGTCAGCCACAACACCCATCTACTTTGTGCATGGAGCAAGTCTCCGTGGCATAGTATATGGGGGACTATGATCAGGGTTTTCTCTATCACCAACACTGTCTGAGAGAAATGCAAAGTCCCAGACTCTATCATTATCAAAGAAGTGAGCAACGTCCTTCATTGTGGTGAGTTCTTCATATGTATGAACCTTTTGGTCTTTGCATTTTCCCCACCTCTGATCGATGATGCCACTCTTTGTTTACTCTTCAACAGCATGCGTCCTTAGTATGGGCCAGTTTAACTGTCCCACAATGCATTTTCGTCAAACCACAGTGGTTATCATTCTAACGAGGTAAGTAGTATTCTCCTAATAAATCGATCTACAATTTTGTGCCTTTTAAATATTTAATTATCATGCCTCGGCTCCTTGCGCATAATGATTACCTCTGCATAATATATTTGGGACTATATATTTTGTCCCATAATGTTTTTTTTCAAATTTGCAACGAGTGGGCTATATATAATATTTTTTTGAGGGCTTTGTTGCGATCCTGTCCACCAGCTCATCGCTTAGGCTCATTTGTGATGGGTTGTTGCAAGAAATCTACCGTTGTTATAGTGCATCAACTAGCATATTGTGTTTACCTCTCTTATGCATTCGCGTTTCAACGTAGAGAGAGAGAGAGAGAGAGAGAGAGAGAGAGGGTGTCAGCCAGTGTCTGACACCGACTTTGGTGCACCAAACTCGGCGTCAAACACTGGCTGACGCCCTCTCTCTCTCTCTCTATTGAGAGAGAGAGAGGTTCATTCTCATTTCAACAGAGAGAGTCTCTCTCTCTTTTTTCCCACCTTCCCCTGTTGATGTCGCGCCCATCTGTTTTATTTTGATGTTTTGTTTTTGTTTGTTTGTTTGTTTGTTTTTTTTTTTTTTTTTTTTTTTTTTTTTTGCCATTTTCTGTGGGCTACCGGTCGCACTCCGGTGGGTACCCCGCCCGACGCGGCGCGTTAACGGCCGCGTCGAATTCATCAAGCAGAGTGAGGTACTGGTGGTGTAACCACATTGCTTCAACCATCGCAGTGTCTGGTGAGCGGAATACATTAAGGGGTCTGCGCAGAAAATATCTGAAGAGCATTGTAAAGAGCATAAAGCTTCCCTCTCGTAGTTACTGCGACGACAACTTTATTTGGCGAAATGAGTTTGGAGGTATACACACATGAACGAAGCCCATACTCAGCATTCTATCGCAATATTGTTTTAATCCTTTGTTGAGTGATATTCATTATCATCACAAGTGACAATGTGGGGTCAGCAACCCTTGAGAGAGGATGGTTCAGGAGACCATCGTCAATCCACAAGAATGGACTATCCTTTCTGGTCAGATTCATCGACGATGCGGCGTTGATGAAGCATGTTTCATTGACTTTTTCATAATAATTTACCATCTTTAAGATTTATCGTTTATTTGTAGCTGGTTTTTACGATGACTTTCTTACTCTTGGGCCATATCCTATCTGCAACAAGATATACCACGTAAAGAATATAGTCCTTTTCATATGCACTGTTTTCTCCACCAACCTTATACTTGTCTTTCAGATACTTGAACTTATCAAACACTACCCTCAAATGCTGCTCCTGCTCCTTGTATGATATATAGGAAAGGAGGATGTCATTCAACTGCAAATTGGACGAGGTGTTGTCTTAGTAGGTCCGTTCATTGCTCCTTGGAAAGTTTTCGACGCATTCGTGCAACCAAGTGACATTCATTTTAAACTTGTAGGGTTCAAAGGTTGTCCTCAACATCGT